ACATTCCAGAGTGGTCAATATGTTTGGTCATTTTTTCTAGAACATTCTTGAACTTTGTTTATGTCCAGAACTTTCCAGGAATATCATGTATTTACAATTTCTAGAATATTCTAGATTTATGATACTGTATAAATACCCTGTCAATTCGATGCATATATACTTTGTCGTATAAGCACTATTGAGATATAAATGGGATATATTTTCACTGGGACATTGTGTGCAGCAACGGACACTCTGATGTATGTATTTTTAGATTCTTGCTAAGTTTGTACTTTATGTTTGATATATTTATTATATATTACTGTAAATAAATTATTGTTAAGTTTAAATTGTGTTATTGATCTTTGCTGGCATTTCGGGTAATTCTGACCCATAACACTCCTTTTACATCTATCATTTTATAATTCATAGTGTATATGAAGTGTTTCCTATCAAAGAAAACACTTATAAATAACTTCATATTTCATATCATGCTAATAAACACTGATAACTAAGGCTATTTTAAAAGAACTTCGATTTCTGTATAAAACAGGTTGGGGGAAAACGTCAATTCCGCTATAATAGAGGTATATCGCTTTTGTTCACTATGGAACGCCGTCACTGCCTTAAGCAGAACACTACTACACGTCAACTCTTTATGACATTAACCTACACTACTATTGCATTGTGTCAACCTTCCGTTACATTATGTCAGCTCTTAATGACATTAACCTACACTACCATTGCATTGTGTTAACTTTCCTTTACATCATGTCAACTCTTTGTGATAGTGATTAGTTTTATGTTGTTTTAATTATTATAATATTCAAATGTATAATTTATTACTTATACATTATGAATATGCCACAACTGATTTTAAACTCTGAAGTGAATGTATTATTAAATCTGTGTGTCAATTAATATTGACCAAAACAAATAATTTAAACTCAAATATTGAAACCTTTCATTTAAATAATTTAGCAAATAAAATACTTTTTAAAAAATTAAATAAAACAAACTAAATGAAATAAAATAAACAATCAGTTAAAACTTTAGATCCACTCCTTTTCTATTTCTACACCTGTAATAAGCTACCTGAGTAGAATTCAATTTCCTTAAATCCTATTGGTCAAGACTTTTACCTCCAAATTCTGGACAACAGACAAAGACATTCAGCTTATTGATTCCAGACTGGAAAGACTTAGATTTCTAAATATCTTACAAACAGTTAACTTAATTTAAATGTGACCTGGTTACCAGCTACTAATATGTAAGTAACTAATTTATTTCTTATTAATGAAATATATTTCAAAGTGTGTGAATTTATCTGAAATTAATAAATTAAGGAAATATTGAGTGTGTAAGAGTTGAGAGTGAATGAAATTATTTTATTACAGTTTAAACAATGATACAGTTCCTGGAGTAATGTAAATCAAAGGTACCAGGCACTCTGTTCCATAAACAGGTACATTTCATATTTTTACAAATGTACTTATCATTTTTATATATTCCTAATTAAGAAGTGGACTTAGAATTCACTTAATGATTGTAATAATGAATGTTAAACATTTCAATATATGTTTCAAAGGAATATATATGAATTGTACAAGTATAAATGTAGGTTTTTATAAAATGCTGTGAAAAGGGGAATAACTCTTTCAAAGTATGCATTGTAAGAATTAATGTATTGTGATTTTATGATTACTGTATGTTTATAGAATTGTCATTTTGATTATATAAAACTGTACTAATATTATTTATATGTATATTTACAGGGTATTATAAACAGTATATTATCTCTTGATAATACCAACAATAAAATCATCAAACGAACCCGCAGGTGTCATGTGCTTATTAAAGAATCCATCAGGATACACAATTGACCCCTGTTACAAAATGGCGCCCATGTAGGGACTGGTGATACTTGGACTGGTTCGACTGTGATAATTCTGTGACATCGAGGGAGAACGGACAATTATTGAACTGAAAACTTCTTCGATATTATAGATTGCCATATATGCAAGTATTTAGTTATATGTGCACATTTTATTTTGTTTTATAGAATTCAATGATAGTGATTAGTTTTATGTTGTTTTAATTATTATAATATTCAAATGTATAGTTTATTACTTATACATTATGAATATGCCACAACTGATTTTAAACTCTGAAGTGAATGTATTATTAAATCTGTGTGTCAATTAATATTGACCAAGACAAATAATTTAAACTCAAATATTGAAACCTTTCATTTAAATAATTTAGCAAATAAAATACTTTCTAAAAATTAAATAAGACAAACTAAATGAAATAAAATAAACAATCAGTTAAAACTTTAGATCCACTCCTTTTCTATTTCTACACCTGTAATAAGCTACCTGAGTAGAATTCAATTTACTTAAATCCTATTGGTCAAGACTTTTACCTCCAAATTCTGGACAACAGACAAAGACATTCAGCTTTTTGATTCCAGACTGGAAAGACTTAGATTTCTAAATATCTTACAAACAGTTAACTTAATTTAAATGTGACCTGGTTACCAGCTACTAATATGTAAGTAACTAATTTATTTCTTATTAATGAAATATATTTCAAAGTGTGTGAATTTATCTGAAATTAATAAATTAAGGAAATATTGAGTGTGTAAGAGTTGAGAGTGAATGAAATTATTTTATTACAGTTTAAACAATGATACAGTTCCTGGAGTAATGTAAATCAAAGGTACCAGGCACTCTGTTCCATAAACAGGTACATTTCATATTTTTTACAAATGTACTTGTTATTTTTATATATTCCTAATTAACAAGTGGACTTAGAATTCACTTAATGATTGTAATAATGAATGTTCAATATATGTTTCAAAGGAATATATATGAATTGTACAAGTATAAATGTAGGTTTTTATAAAATGCTGTGAAAAGGGGAATAACTCTTTCAAAGTATGCATTGTAAGAATTAATGTATTGTGATTTTATGATTACTGTATGTTTATAGAATTGTCATTTTGATTATATAAAACTGTACTAATATTATTTATATGTATATTTACAGGGTATTATAAACAGTATATTATCTCTTGATAATACCAACAATAAAATCATCAAACGAACCCGCAGGTGTCATGTGCTTATTAAAGAATCCGTCAGGATACACAATTGACCCCTGTTACAAAATGGCGCCCATGTAGGGACTGGTGATACTTGGACTGGTTCGACTGTGATAATTCTGGGACATCGAGGGAGAACGGACAATTATTGAACTGAAAACTTCTTCGATATTATAGATTGCCATATATGCAAGTATTTAGTTATATGTGCACATTTTATTTTGTTTTATAGAATTCAATGATAGTGATTAGTTTTATGTTGTTTTAATTATTATAATATTCAAATGTATAATTTATTACTTATACATTATGAATATGCCACAACTGATTTTAAACTCTGAAGTGAATGTATTATTAAATCTGTGTGTCAATTAATATTGACCAAAACAAATAATTTAAACTCAAATATTGAAACCTTTCATTTAAATAATTTAGCAAATAAAATACTTTTTAAAAAATTAAATAAAACAAACTAAATGAAATAAAATAAACAATCAGTTAAAACTTTAGATCCACTCCTTTTCTATTTCTACACCTGTAATAAGCTACCTGAGTAGAATTCAATTTCCTTAAATCCTATTGGTCAAGACTTTTACCTCCAAATTCTGGACAACAGACAAAGACATTCAGCTTATTGATTTCAGACTGGAAAGACTTAGATTTCTAAATATCTTACAAACAGTTAACTTAATTTAAATGTGACCTGGTTACCAGCTACTAATATGTAAGTAACTAATTTATTTCTTATTAATGAAATATATTTCAAAGTGTGTGAATTTATCTGAAATTAATAAATTAAGGAAATATTGAGTGTGTAAGAGTTGAGAGTGAATGAAATTATTTTATTACAGTTTAAACAATGATACAGTTCCTGGAGTAATGTAAATCAAAGGTACCAGGCACTCTGTTCCATAAACAGGTACATTTCATATTTTTACAAATGTACTTATCATTTTTATATATTCCTAATTAAGAAGTGGACTTAGAATTCACTTAATGATTGTAATAATGAATGTTAAACATTTCAATATATGTTTCAAAGGAATATATATGAATTGTACAAGTATAAACCCTATAGTATATAACCCCTGTTACATCTTTATGACATTTACCCACTACTATTACATTGTGTTAACTTTCCTTTACATTATGTCAACTCTTTATGACATTTACACATACTAAAATTATATTTCGTCAACTTGCATTTCGTTATGTTTACTTTTCATGACAACTTAGTTTTTACTAACTGATGTGAAAAGCTCATATCATACTGTGCGCACTCTTCTACATTATGTCGATTCACTATTAAGTTATGCGAACACGGGTATCCTCGGCCTTTATACATGTATGAACATAACGTATTTTCCGCGTTCCGCGAGCACTGACAATGGCGGGAGAGAAAACTGTCGTAGAAGAGATTCTCAGCGATTTGGGAATGACATCTTTAACACTGCTTCGCCCGTTATGCAAATTATCCCATGTTTCCCACTATTGTTGATGCCCTGGCATACCCTCAAAACAAGACAGTGATTCCTTAAATAAATTAAGACACACAATACTGACAGGTATTCGTTGAAAATACACACAGGTAGTTGATAATACATGTACCAGACACACTACACTACATTGTCAGCTATTTATTGGTACATGTACCAAACACTATACACTAGTGGGATAATGATATTGATAATACACGAGCCACACACACAACATTAATGATAACTCGTGAACCAGAACAACTACTTTGGCAGGTATTTATTGATAATACATGTACCAGGCACACTACACTGACAGGATTTTATTGATATAATACATTAAATTTAACAAACACTCTACACTGGCAGGTATTCCTTGATCAAGCATGTACCAGACACACTAATGGCATGAACCTATATTGTTGATGTATTCACCAGGCACACTATTTAATTTTGGCAGGTATATTTATTGATTATATGTACCAGGCACATTACACTGTAAGGTATTTATTGATTATACATGTACCAGACACACTATTGGCAAGAACTTCTTGATAATACATGTACCAGGCACACTATTTTGGCAGGTATTTATTGTTGATACATGAACCAGACTCACTGCATTGACAGCTTTTTCTTATTGATAATACATGTACCAGGCACACTTTATTGGCAGGAACTAATTTATATTATATGTACCAGACACACTGCACTGATAGGAACGTTTTCACAATACACATCAGGAATACTATTATTACTGACAATACCAGACTACTATTGCACTTCGAAGAACTTAATCATTGATAATGCCAATGAACATGACATGGTTCAGATAAATTTTTGCTATACATATGTTTTATTCAGTTGATTATGTTTGAATCTTCACTTAGTTCATCAATGAACTGAATGCGTTCAGTTGTGCCTTGTTTTTTGCATTGCATTAGGAGTGGTATCCCTTCTGTATCCAAGTTAACGTCCTGGTGGAGTTGGTTAGCTATCACGTCATGGCGCGGGGAATCTTCGCTACCACTGTCCCTTGGAGAATTGGATTCCATGGAAACAAAACCAGTTTCCACACTACACTGGGAAGGTGCCGAACAAATATTTACTTCTGTAGCTACATTCTTTTTTGTCTCGATCTCATCGTCATTTTCACTTGCATAACTGTCATCTTGATCAACCGGAAGTTGTTCACTTTTATTTACATTTTTGCATGAAGAAAGTAAATATCCCTCTGAAGTAGGATTCTTTAAACTCTCGTTAGATTTACTATTATTGTTTTGCACCTCCTTTTCTACTTTCTCCGTTTGAGCGAGAGAAAATTCATCATGGCTATTATCTTGAAGACATAACACATCATCCGTAAATCCCCCTACAGGATTGAGTGTTTCGATACAAGCAACGGTTATGCACTCATTCGTGGTCACATTTTGCTCCTCGGGAGGAGTGTTTGCCGCTTGTTTGAAACGCAGCGTATCGTATGATGGAGGGGGCTCCTCCTGTCGCTGTAGAACAATGTCGTCATAGAGAGGCGGGGCCACACCCAAGGACAGACCGAGGTCATTCGTTATGGTCCACTTGTCTCCCTGCTTCTTTGCACTCACTGTGATGCTCATATTTCTCATGCTGCTGTTAAAAGAGTATCAAAGGTCATAATTATTAACTAATGCCATTTTTTTTCAAAACAGTGTTTCTTTTACAGTAGTTTACAGACTGAAAACAGTTCAAGTATTAAAACTACAGCTAATCTTCATTCAGTCATTATTGTTTTTTTTATTTCCCTATTCCTTTGTATTGCTTTAGTGTAAGTCTCTTTTTTTTTGACCTCCTCGATCCCCATTCTTCGTGACTGTCTCGATGACAATAAGACGCCTAGCGTAAGGCACATTTTTCAAAGACTCCGGAAAAAGTTCTCAGAAACATTACAGCAACAAAAAAATTATATTTTCTAGAACTTTTAAATGAAAATAAACTGTAAAGAAAGATACATTTGATCATTTTTCACAAAATTATATGGCTTGGCCATATAGACATATACAGATAAAACCTTTTAAAACAAAAATATTTGAATTTTGAATGGAAAAAAAGATTGAGTTATGTATCCTGAGGGAGACTTACTTCCTGCGGTTGTACCTCCTCAGCAGACAAATAACCACTCCTATTGTTGTTATAAACATCACGATGGCAATGATCGCCGACACAACTGCCATCGTTGTATAGTCTGAAATAAATAGACTTCTTCAGTATGCGATTTCTTACTTTACTTATTAAAGCCGTTTTAAACTTTCAGTTTTGGTCTTTTTCAGAAATTCAGAGCTAAAACATGCATTTAGAACAATATCAGGGAATAAATACGAAACGACCAGGTCAACTCATGTAGAATCTTCCCCTACGGAGGAAGGGGGGGGGGGGTGAAGGGATGAAAAATTAATGATGATTATTATCTCCAAAAAAATTTTAAAAAGTAGAAGACATAGTTATTTACAGGATAACTATCCAATTTCTCTGAGTACTAAACGTTGTGCTACAATTGATCTAAAAAAATAGTCCAGCAAATTTATATTTTTTAAATTTTAATATTTTACTGTTTGTCTTAGACTTATCAACATTATTCGTCTTTTATAAAAAGGGGATACCCCTCGATTTTTTAGATAGATTTCCATTAATATTAAGACTATAATTAATTTTTGGACGTACAATATGTGAGTACATGTAGGAATGAGCATCGACATTTTTTTTAACTTGACCCACTTTTTAAATCAAGATCAAATTAAAATAAAATTACTGTATCTCGAGAACCCTTTGACGTTTTAGGCTTCAATTATATTACATATGAAATAAATACACTGCAACAGAATCCGTGACCTAGGTCCATTTTACGTACACGTGTACTTCCAGTCATCGGTGATGACGTCATCACAGGCCTCCTCGTCACTGAGGTCTCCTTCGCCACAGTTCTCCTCTCCGTCACACCAAACTGAGTAATGAACACATACGTTCCTACCGATACACCTTCCATACAGGCGTGGACATGACCCATCTCTCTGGACATCTAAAATGAATAGGGTTAACAATTTACAAGTATTATTTTTTATGCCCACGTAATCGAAAATCCTGGGGTATATAGCTTTTGCCCTGTCCGTCCGCCCGTCTGTTTGTCCGCAAAAACTTTAACTTTGTTCATAAATTTTGAGTGGGTGAGGCTATGACTTTCATATTTCACAGGTGTACTTCTTTATTGTGACAAAAACTTTCTTTGGATACCGCCAAATTTGACCTCTCGGCTTTGGAGTTTGAACCACTTTTACAAAAAAAAAAAAAAATCACACTTTAACGTTAATTGGTCATAACTTTCGAACAGTGTGTGCCAGGGCTTTTATACTTCACATGTGTATTTAATGTGACAAAACTTTTCAGTTGGTTAAAATATTTTTGACCTCTTGACCTTGATCTTAGAGTTTGACCCACTTTTTGTAATTATTAACCTTGACAATGACTTTTGAACAGTTAAAACTAGGGCTTTCATATTTCACAGGTGACAAGACCTTTATGAACAATTTTGAACTGTTGACCTTGACCTTAGAGTTTGACGTGCATTTGAGAAAATTCAACACTCGCCATAAGCTGTCATATGGGAGATCAGTGTTTCACAAACACATCTTGATATTAATAACTTAATATTCTCGGTTGAAAATGGTGTTTTGAGGAAGAGGATATTTAATGTACTATCAACTTCAAGCAGTATAGTACTGTTGAGCATAAAAGTACATAAAGATTTCGCGAACCACATACGAAATTCTGTCGACTTATTTTTTATATTGAGTTCCATGTCTACTCTATTTCTGTTCATGATTTGGTTTCTCCTAGATATATTGCTATCAATAAAACAAAATGCATTTAAATAGTTTTTCCCTTCTGAGTTTTAAAATTAACATTTTTCCGAATTCTCAAAACTAGGTTTTTCAAAACAAAAAAAAAGTCGAATACATGTATAGTTTCTTGTCATACAAGGGTGGTAAGATAAAGGACAATGTCTCTTTGATATCTATTGATATTTATATTGTCAAAGAATCCTTACACTTACAGCAAGGTTTATGTTTCTTATTTGTGTTTTTTTTCTGAAATAGTCTGTTGCATGAGCAACCAATCATAAACAAGCATTCTGGGAGTACAATATATTGCATAAGCAATACATCTACCCTACCGGGTTCCCCTTTTCTCTTTAGGATACAAGATCGTTTGAAACTTTAATATATTGCATAACGAACCCGATCGTAATCCCAATTATGAAAAATTAAAACTGCCATAATTCCGTCAAAAACCAATAAAGCGGAACGAAATTCAAACTTGATCTATACCTCATGAAGATACACTCACGCACCAAAAATCAGCTCAATATCTGCAAGCATTTAAAAAACGTGGGAAAACTAAGTGGGACAGACAGACAGACAGACGGAATGACATACTCAGAGGAAACCTATAGTCCCCTCCGGTTTCACCGGTAGGAGACTTATAAGAAGAAACTACCAATCATAAGGTGATTAAGGTGACTTGTAAGGTGATTATTATCAATTCCAGTGAAGTGTGAGTGTTTGCATTACTTCATAACCTACCGGGTATGACAGCTGCGCTCATGGTAAATAGATGTAGTACACGGCTCCTTACCGCAAGTACGTGTGTTTCTTGTTTGTGTTTTATTTCCTGAAATATTCTGTTGCATGAGCAACCAATCATGGATAAGGAGAAACTACCAATCATATAAGCTTGTGGTTAGGAGGCGTGTTCTACGTGTATTTTACGTACCTTGAGCATCCTTGAGCGCAAGCAGATTTTAAACAAGATGTGTTTGTGAAACACCATGCGCCCGGCGGTAACAAAGTTAAAAAACATTTTTAGCATATAAGTCACAGTCAAGGTTACAAGGTCATTGATCTTGGTGTCATCTGAAAGAACTTATTTAGTGGAGTATGCTTACCAACTATGAAGTCTGTATCTTTCATTGTTCAAAAGTTATTGTGAATGTTCAAAAAAGCTATTTTTAGCATATAGGACACAGTCAAGGTCACAAGGTCATTGATCTTGGTCATTTGAAAGAACTTAATTAGTGGAGCATGCATACCAAATATGATGTCTCAATCTTTTATTGTTTAAAAGTTATAGCGAAGGTTAAAGTTTGCAGAAAAAACTATTTTTAGCATATAGGTCAAGGCACAAGGTCATTGACCTTGGTGTCAGCTTACTTAGTGGAGTATGCATACCAAATATGAAGTCTCAACCATTCATGGTTCAAAAGTTATAGCGAAGGTTAAAGTTTGTAGACAAACAGACAAACAGACAGACAGACAGAACAAAAACAATATACGCCTCGGATCTTTCGATTCGGGCGCATAAAAATAGGTTGTGACGTTATGCAAAACAGTACTATACACTTCACTGGATTGATAATATGCTCATTTTGTCATTTCAAACTCTGTACCTTTAACAGATGTGATCAGGATGTCAAATCCACTGTATGTAAGTGTTGGAGAACCAACATATGTCAACCGGAAACGATTTTTTGAAGAAATGTAGTCCCCAACGCCAATACTCGTGCGTTTGTAAAATTTATCATAAATTCCAAAGAGGCCACTAGCTGGAGTTACCATCTGAGCATGTCCCTTTGAGTCAAAGTCATAAATATGCAAACTGAAAAAAAAAGATATGTCAAATACATATTTGGAAATGCAAATTTTGATTCATTTCAACACCAGTATATCATATGTCAATATTTTCTTTAATCACTAATTAATATAATAAATATGGAAATATCAGAACACAAATAAATCCAGAATAGTATGCATGCAGTCCTACTACATGGCAAGGAGTACATACTTATCCGGTGTATCGTTTTCCATGCTGATGCTGAGTGATGTAAAATGAATCAGAAGCCGTTTATCGGGTTCCGTGACGAGATTGGACGTACAGTGCAGCTGTTGGGAGGGTCTGTCGGACAGAGGCTGGTTTGTTAGTTTGAATATAATACTGTCCTTTACAAATATCTCTCGCTTTGTATTACAGTTGTTAATCATAAATTTTCCCGTTGTAATGGCCTCTACTAAAAGTCCTGCAATTGAAATAATCATTTGAAAAAAATATAAATTGTAAATTCCCGGAAAATCCCATCGCTGTGTTGAAATATTGATATGAAAATAACGAACGGGAACAGATGACCTTACTCTGCAACGGATTTGGAGGGGTTATAGTAACGCGCTTGTGTATGTGTTAGTTTGTCCTGTGCGAAACAGAATGACGTAATTGTGATCGATGCCGAATGCTGCCTTGATCTATAGATATATTCCTTGCTCGGGGATGCTTCGCTTTGCGGTGTCCCTTTATTATCATTAATATTAAATAATTTATTTATTTTATGATTCTTTATGGTAGACATCAAAATAACTCGTGAGTATTGCAAGACATTTGACTTTTGCTATAAGATGTGATCGAAAAATGAACGATACTCCCATAATCTTTAATTTATTTGATATGTTAAACAAGTAAATACAGTAACACAGCTTATAAATCAAAGCAATTATGTATCATATAAATAGCTGTGAGCAATTTTTATCAGTAATTCTTAAGAAAATATATAACACTAAATATAACAGCTTTTCTAAATTTTTATACTCAATACCTCTTAAAACAGTTTTGTAAGTCCGAGTCTATGTTATAATGAGGAAAGAGAGACATCAATTTGAGGTTCTTATATAGTCATAATGTGAAAAATATTTTTATTCCCCCGAATCGAAAGATCCCGGGGTATATTGTTTTTGTCCTGTCTGTTTTTCTCTCTGTTTGTCTCTCTGTCTCACTGTTGTCAACTTTAACCTAGCCCATAACTATTGAGTGGGTGGGGCTATGGCTTTCATATTTCACAGGTGTATTCATTGTGACAAGAAATTTTCATGGGTACCACCAAATTTGACCTCTCGACCTTGACCTTGGAGTCTGACCTACTTTAAAAAAAACACACTTTATATTTATTTATTGTGACAAAACCTTTCAGCTGGTATAAATACTTTTGACCTTGACCTAAGAGTTTGACCCGATTTTTAAAAACGAAATCCTTGGTCATAACTTTTTGACAGTTAGAAATAGGGCTTTCATATTTCACAGTTGTATTCCTTTTAACAAGACCTTCCTTTGGGTACCAACACTTTTGACCTTGACCTTTGACATACATTTGAGAGAATTCAACCCTCACCATAAGCTGCCATACGGGAGCATCAATGTTTCACAAACACATCTTGTTTCTTCATAGTTTTAAAACGGCAGCAAAGCAGAAAATATGTTCACGTAAGCAATAAATCAAAAGATCTAAAAGAGTTCGTCTTTTCGACTACCGGAAAGTTGCGTTCATTTAACTTTATGAGCCTTTGTCAGGATGCTTTGAATTTCTTTATGATTTGGCTCTACTTAAAACGTCCATATGAAGTGGAATGCACAGCAGTGAAATATGGTACTATTGACATTCTTTTCAACACATTAGCAAAATGTATTGTCCCAATAAATTGCAAATTACCGATAACATTTGATGATATCCGGAACTAAGCGTTTTTCAATCGGTTTCCATAGTGACAAATATTATAGCTTTCGATTATCGGTAGACAGGAAGTATGTCGATCGACATTTTGTCATCATACCGGAAGTACTCAGAGGAAAATAGAACAGGATTTACTTTGCTAACCGATGAGGTTTCTTAGTCCCACCAACTCTTTATCAGTTTCTTATCACGCATCATAAGAATTGTGAAATAAAAATTTACCTATTGATACCGATGACACACTAAGAAAAACAACTATATTTAAAAAATCGTACATATACCTGTACCCCCTTTATTATAGACAGAAAAAAAATGAAATTAAATCTGTTTTTCTTATCAAAATAAAACGCGTTTTTGCTCAGTCAATCCTTTTGTAACAATTTCATTCAAAAACACGAGTAACTAGAACAGAATGTGTTTCATGACAAGTGAGAAAAGTCGAGAAATATTACATTCATGCATAACTTTGGATATATTCTCGATGTAATTGGAAAAGGGCAGCCTTCTTGATTTGCCTTTAAAGACATACGCAACGTACCTTACCTACTGATAAAATTTTAAGATAATATTAATTTTAGATTCAGATGATCATAGACAAAAAAATCAGCATGCATTACCAGGGGTTTTTGAAAGATAATAATTTATTAAAATTCTTGGGAGATTCAAAGAAAACAATATATCAAAAATACTAAACATATTTTCTGCGTGTTTCTTTTATCCAAAATTGTTTTAGGAGAAGAGTACAACACCATATATCAACATTAAAATATAGCATTCAGTTCCTCCAAGAATTGGAACTCTTCAACTCCATGGAAAAAGACAAAAAATGTTCAAACTAACGTAGCGTACGTCCTTAAAATCTTATTTTATTTCGAGCTTTATGCCCCTCCAATTACAAAGAAAATCCAGTGTTTACAAATATTATTTCACCGATCACTTTTCAATGATCAATTATTTGGTGTACTATACTAAGACTTCAGTTGTTTAATTTACTGTTATTCCGGAAACAGCGAATTCATATAAACTGATTAAAACTGAAAACTCTTTGCATAGTTAGATAAACATTTTGGTGATCAGAATCACTGCTGCGCCTCATTGAGATCTTATAATAATTTATGTAAATGTTTAGACAGCTTCGTATAGATGTATGTGCTTTGAGGTAAAGGACTTAGCTTGTCAACATAACGAGTAATTCAATATCATATGACGGCAAAGACGGGGACTTGGATTATAGATAAACATGTGTAACTCTGCACCTCCCTAAGTTAGAATGACTCTCAGGGAGTTTAATCTTATCAAATCTAGAAGAAGATTTAATTGTCACTTAAATGCCACTTTGATATCATGCCTCTTTAAAGAAAAAAGTCTGAAGCCATTGTGCATTTTAAAAAATAATTTTGATTTTTCACAATGTTGAAAAACCAATAATTGGTTTTTGTGTCAAGAATGTGCATGATTGAATATCTCTTCAGCAATACAGCTGACGACTTATGCATGTTTTTATATAGATATGATTAATTGTATAATCACGTCAGATTCTAGCTGTTTTTAATATACATACTCTAACATTCATTCCAGGAATGTTAAAAATTTTTATCAATGCCAAAAGTACTTAAATTTTGAAGATATTGTTTAAAAAAAATCCATACGTATAAAACCATTCTTTATTTCTAAATCTACAGCGATGGCACAAACAAAAAAATTATTATCGTTTAAATTGGGTTTATTTCTCTCATATTCCAGCTAACAATAAACATTCTTATTCGACTTCCTATTGTGAACAATCCCATTACGAAAGTACATAGAGGATTTCGCGCAACAGGTATATGTAAGATGTGGAGATTAGCGTTAATACTGGATTAACAGGTACAGGTAATATGTGGAGATTATCATTACTAATTCTCCAATGACACTCCTTTCAAGGAACGCAGATGACAAAAATCGGATCCTAGCAAGATAAAACAGAGAGAGAGAGAAGGGGGGCTTTGATATTGCTGTAGTATACTGTTGTATGGAACTCGATATAGTATTACATTGCATTCGATCAAGCACAATCTTATTTTGTTCAAATGACAATAGTTTAACTATTGAACAAAATGTTGATTTAAATGAACAAACCAGACCATTTATGATGGGTTAATCTGACGAATAATAGGTAGATATTATCGCGAGGTGCTGAAATTAAGGTATGGGTACAAAAAAATGATAGATTAGTATTTATGTGTTGAATATACAGGCCTTGTATTTTTGATCGTGATAAAATGATAATTTTCCATATGGAGCAATTCCTCTTTTGCCTGGAAAATTCAAAAAGATGAAGTCAGGATGGCTTTTGTCCACTCTTCAATTGATGTGGGGAAAGAATTGATTTTCTATTGGTTTTACTGCTCTTGGATACAAACAACACAAAGCTTCGTTAGTGGAGTGAAATCATCACCGTTACATTTATAGGTAACAAAATCTCATGATTCGCCCGACATGGGTAACAATATTGAACACAAATTTTCCATTAAAAGACTATTTATTTCAGATTCCGTCAGAAGAGCTTTCAAAGTTTGTTGTGAATAATGGTTAATTAATCGAACGACGTGATGGCCGCTAGAATTGTACTAAAAGGTGTTATCATGGAAAAAGTTACTTCTATTGAAATCTACTGTGTAGTTCTTAAGCTTATCAATTCCATAAAATGACACCCAAATAAAGGAGAAACGAATTCTTTTAACAAGAAAGCCCGAATTCTTTTAACAAGAAAGCCCTCACTTCGTATTTCCAATTCCAGAGGATAAAAGAAGTTTTTGTAATTTATTTAGAGGAAATAGTGTGGAACTTATTAAAAACACGGAATTTTACTTTCTATATTCAAAAAAAAAATTAAACTTATTTTTAGTAATTGATTTAATTAGTATAACTTCTAAAATTTTGATAACTTTTCACTTGTTAGAAACTTAATAACTTATATCTCTTATATAATGTGTACACAAAATAAATATTCTCACAAATGTTCCATACCATAATTTATATTATCAAAACTCTCTCTCTCTCTTCTTATTTACACTAGTATGAAATTGTGTGTTTCTTTGGAAGAGAAGTACATGTGTAAACCGGAAATATTTTATCTAAGATGTAAATGGCTTAGAAAAGAAATTGAATTAATTTTATCAAACTTCTACATATAATTAAGCTTTTAATATATTTTCTTTAAAAAAGAACTAACCTGTGAAAACTAAAAGGCAACATCTTAGTAAATGATTGTCCATTCTAGCCGTTGATCGTACCGACTTTGAATGCCCTGTAAACACTTGTTGACTTTTCTCAGATAGACGAGACTCGTGTAAATGGACCTCAGATCTGACTTTGCATAAACACCTTTTTGATATTCCCTTTTCATAAGTCACATGCTGATATCCAAAGAAAGAGGCGTTCGTCATTACTTCATTTCCGTTATCTCATTGGGTTGGAGCCTTGGTCACGTGGCGAGCTTTAAATTCTGAATCCAGTCATTTTTACATTTAGGAAGATTTAATTGATACACACAGGAGGTTATGCGAAGTCAGAATCGATCTTTAAGTGGATGATTCGTAGAAGAATAATTATACACTTTAAATTGTTTGCGAATTTTCGCGTTGAAATGTTAATAAATGCACAACCTCACAGTCGTTCAATTGAAATCAATTGAACGAGCATTAAAAGAACGATTGTATTTTTTAAATTTCAGCTGATTTTGTACTGTGATTTTGATGAAATATGGGAAGGGATTATTCCTTCTAATTAAAATCCTCTTTCAGAAATTTAAACCTCGTACGGGCTGTACAAAAGCCAGTAAGGCGTTTGGCCGCCGCTGTAAGTATGGCGAACAATAATATTCCAAGTTTATTATATTTGATTTAAATACCAAGTTTACATTTATGTACCAATTGAAAGCCATCTCTCTAATCTGACGCGATTGTATCGCGTCAGGAAAAAAGGAAAAAGAAAATCTTATCTTTCATCAAAATATTATTTTAGATAAAATTTCCTATCGATATCTCAAAATTGAATTTTACCGAAGCTTCGTCAAAATTCACCCCGCTGTTTAAAACTACAATTGTACATATGAATACATGTATATGAAGAGAATGTTATTCAGTGCAATATTTAACTTCTATACTCGTAAACATATGGAAATATTATACTTTCATATAAATTAGTTGAATCTGATTGGTCGAAAGACATTTGTTAAAAAACACTATTACCCGCTGAATAATGAAGCCACGCCCTCCAGCGTAGCAACAGTCAACATTGCTTGACGACGGGTGATATTCCAAAAAATGTTGACTGCGCAGAATTTATGCGCGCACGGTTCACTGATATATGTATTTGTATAAAACATTCAGTGTAATATAATAAATATTGCATGTAGTTGAGTGTAACATTGAAAATTTTCACCCCTCGAAAACCATAGTCAATCTCGGCTGTGCCTCGGTTGACAATGGTTTTCTTGGGGTGAAAATTTTCAATGTTACACTCAACTACACGCAATATTTATATAACATGAAATAGTAGAATCATAGGCGTCGTAACTGGGGAGGAGGCTATGGAGGGCTTAGATAGACATATTATGGGGATTGAGAATAAGTGTAGCGCCCCTCAAACTTGTAACAAGCACGTTACAGTTTAGGTCAAAAAAAGGTAGCCTTAGTGGCAGTGTTTGGAAAAAAATTGGTATAATAATTGTTTTACGAGTTTATTTGTTTAAACAATAACATTGTAACTGTAAAATCAAGAACAACAAATCAAATGATGAAAATCCTCCTGTATTTTAATAGTTAAAGAAACTTTTGAATTGTCCAGGGAATCGAAGATTAAACAAAAAGTTTAAAACCATCTTGCATAAGTCCTTAATGTGTAATTCCTTACGTCCTGACAGAGTTTACTGACTGGCCTGACATGCAACTACTGGAGACTATCCGGCACATTCAGCTGATTTCATTTACCTCACTATTTGGTGTGCCATATTGTCCTCTATATGTGTAGTCCCGTACGTCTGCTTTATCGTCATCATTCCAGTGGTCGTCTGCTTTATCGTCATCATTCCTGTGGCTGTCTGTTTTGTCGTCATCATTCCAGTGGCCGTCTGCTTTATCGTCATTATTCCAGTGGCCGTCTGCTTTATCGTCATCATTCCAGTGGCTTTCTGCTTTATCGTCATTATTCCAAAGGCTTTCTGCTTTATCGTCATCATTCCAGAGGCCGTCTGCTTTATCGTCATCATTCCAGTGGCTTTCTGCTTTATCGTCATTATTCCAGTGGCCGTCTGCTTTAAAATCGTCACCATTCCAGTGGCCGTCTGGTTTATCGTCATCATTCCAGTAGCTTTCTGCTTTATCGTCATCATTTCACAGTTCCAGTGCCGGCCATCATTCCAGCGGCGATCCCTCATTCTCAACAGAACTAGATTGCACATCTCGAACTTCCAGGGCCATTCCGCTTTTGATGAAATCGGCATATTCTAAGTTAAACTTTGCTTCTCTGAACTTCATGATCTCGTCTGCTTTCAGGAATGTATAATCGTAATAAGTAAAGATGACACCTTTGAGAGTAAGGATCCGGTGGCGTAAGTTTTGTTGGTAGAGGGCGTTCTCGGATCTCTCAGCTGTTTGGTATCTAACCTTCAGTTCTTTCATTTTCCGTTTCATGTGAAGGATTTGTTCTTTGGCTTTATAGAACTTGACCTCGGCGTCTGTCAGTTTCAGAGATATGATTTCCTTTTCCAGTTTTAGACGGAGGTCCTCCAGATCCATCATAGATGTTGAGTCGCCAACCTTCATGTTTGATTTAAACTAAATTAAAGGAGATATCTGAAGTATGTATACTTTTTATGTGCACCTCACGGAGTAACCGTTTAGCACCTTAAATTGCTATGGCCCCTAGTGATCACCAAATTTAAACAAGTTTTAACGCGTGTTTTAATTTTTTTATCACCATGTTCTAACAAGATATTTGTTTCAGCATGACAAGTGTACAGGTAATTAGAAAAGCACCCTTATGGGCAGCGCTATTAATGAGGAGGTAATTAGTAATTAATATGATTAATTTCTCTCTCTCGTTTCTAATGACGTTAATACATCTATGATATAATTGATCGATTTAGAAAAATAAAATTTAATGGTGCATTTTCTAAGGCGGCGGATCTAAGACAAACGAGTACTCCACCCCAATCGGTGAATCAATAAAGGATAATTTTTTTTTCATTGTGCTTGAAATGTCCGATCATCGTATATTTAGAGACCAGACGAAAAAAGTTCTGTATAAGAATTTCATTCTCGATTTTGAAATTAAGTTATTTTGCGGCTGTGATGACACCCTTTCATCCTTTTGAAAGGTGTTACAAAACAATATGACCAACCTGGATATAACCGAAGTTCATTTCATTTTCTTGATAATTATTGGTTTAAAATATGAGGTTACTTGGTAAAAATCCTAACGTTTTGTGCATACAGATATTATAAATTTGAGAGGTGATCAGATCTTCACTGGAGATCTGATATTAAGGTACAGCCTACACATTTGACAGATTTCTCAAGTACAGAATTGTGAATGATAAGTAGTCTTTTTTAGTTTTGATATTATTAGGTCCGTATAACACTTAACAATTCAAATTTCTAAAATGATTTAAAGTTTTAGAATGTTAATATATTAGTTCAGATTTCTAAATTTCTAAAACTTAAACTGATTTGGTATATTGAAATTCAGTGTTTTAATCCAAAATTCTTAATTTTGAAAATTCCAAACAGGTTTGAAATTTTCAATATTTTAGATTTTACCTCAAAATTTCAAAATTCAAATATCAAAAAAACGATTTTTGTATATTAAACTTTTGAGTTTTTAATCTACCGTTTTTCAGAAAGTTTACGATTAACAATCTAAAGTTAAGTAACATTTTTCGTCTTTTGATTATTTCAAATTAACTTCTAAATTTCAACTTTCAAACGTTTTAGATCTTTAAAGAAAATTAGAATTTTGTTCAAATACTTAAATTTCAAATAACCAAAACACTTCGAGTTTTTAGAATTTTATTTTAAATATCCAAAATATCAAATTTCCAAACCCGATAAACGGATTTGAATTTTGAATATCAGTTCAATATATTCTTACTATCTAAAAGCTCTTTTGAAATAGTTTCAATATTCAAACTACGGTTTGTAATTTGATATTTTGGATATTCAAAGTAAAAGACTAAAACCCCAAATCTAAAAAGTATTTTAGAATATTTAAAATTTGAGTGTTTGAGTTAAAGTTCTTATCTAAAAAAAAAATCTCGGCGAGATTACAAGTAGTGGCGGGTAAATCGGGATCGATGTACATATAGTTTCAAGTCCATTTCGTTTTTCACTGTTTTTAGCCTACACTCTTAAATTTCCGGTAGATGACGCTATCGCCGGCGAATTGTAAATAAAGCTAGTTACCAAGATCTAGGGTGTGTATAATTTGAATGCTAAAGATCAGATATAACAAGCGTGGTATTTATTACTGGATTGCGCTTAGCCGCTTAGGTAAGTCTACTATTAAATGATGGAACATTGTATTTTTATTACGCATCTTAAAATTTCCTCAGAAGATTATTATCATCCATGTGGATGTAACAGTTTAGTTAGGAAAAAGTCTGTCTAGGTGCAGAACTGTATCATTATAGTTTTATATAATTAATATGTTTTACGGTGTGACCGTTGGGGCGAGCGCAGTAGGTACCATCGAAGAAACTTGAAAGATTTATCAGCCACTTCAAACATCAAGCCGCACGAGACGTCTCGACTACCTGTGACGTCACAAGACGTCATGGAGCTCGTCGGAGCTTACGGAGACAGCCGAGCGTCTGGTTGAAACTATAGACATAGTGCAATATTGGTCGAAAAACATTGCAGAGTTATTTTTTGTTTATTTGAAAAATATCTACAAACTGAGAGCTAGCGTCTCATGCTTTACGTTATTATTTATTTATTTATTCGCGCAAAGGACATTGGGTAGTGCAGGAATTCTGGGAATGTTGCACAGAGAAATTTGGCTGACGTATGTACAGATTTCAATCCGAATTTCCTCTGTTCATACCCGTTAGTCTATTGAGCTCGCTGCGCTCGCTATTAAACCTAGTCTTTAACCATTTAACTACAGATCCTGTACAGGCATCCATCTTAATAATGTTAATTAAATAAATACATGCACCTACTAAAACTTGTAATAAACATATTAACCTTAATTGTTATGTTTATAAATAAAATTTTATCGGTATAATAAGTGGATAAAATTGGTAAGTTCCCATTTCACACAAAGATTCCTCATGACCTAAGAGTGTGCCGAGACCTTGAACCAAGGTCATTTGGGGAAGTTCAAGGTCACTGAAAGAAAAATTTCATAATTCGTGTCCGGGGTTCTTATCTTGCTTATGCATAAACTTGGTAAGTTCCTATTTCCCACAAAGATTGCTCATGACCTAAGGGTGTGTTATGATCTTGACCCGAGGTCATCTGTGCAAGTTCAAGGTCACTGAAAGAAAAATTTCATAATTTATGTTTGGTACATATCTTTCTTATGGAAAAACTTGAATTTACTATTTCACACAAAGATGGCTTATGACCTTAGGGTGTGTCTTGACTTTGACCTAAGGTAATTTGTGCAAGTTCAAGGACACCGACAGAAAAAATCGTAATTAATGTCTGGTCCATATCTGTCATATTGATAAACGTGGTGAGTTCCCATTTTACACAAAGATTGCTTGACCTGAGGTTAATTGTGTCATGACTTTGAACCAAGGTCATAAATGCAAGTTCAAGGTCACTGCCAGAAAAAAGTTCATAATTCATGTCTGGTCTGTATTTTTTTTTATTAGGCTGCATCTTCATTTCATTCATAGAAAAAAATATTATGAGCAATTACATTCGCACTAAAAATGTTTTAGCATTTCTCTCTTCTCTTAGATCCATAAAATATTTATGATTTGGCACCTCTGCAAAACCCCGCGGGGGGTATTTCGTCTCTTTTGGACAGTTCTAGTTTTCAATAGTATAGATGCATTAGATGGCTAACAAAATTGTAGGCACATGCATTTGTGATTTTTTCAATGCCTCTTAATTGTTTTTTTTTTTTTAATAAAAGAAAATGTTTAATGTTAACTCTCTAAATCTCCATTGATTGTTTCAATAAAACAGTTATGGAATGGGTATGAGGGATATATATAAAATTAATGGTTCCCCAGTTCCCCTCGGGAAGGAAACTATGTTGAGGATTAACTTTTAAATAAAAGTATATCCATATCAATAATTTGAAAGCGCTGTGATAAAGGTATGATCGCTTTCCAGTTCAAATACTGTTTGTCCGATCCATGGTAATTAACATAGTACAATCCATAGTAAATTCTGAGTCAACACATTTAAAAAAAAACGTTTTAAGTGACATTTAGTGATATTTTCTCAATAAATACATGAAATAGCATAAAATTGTGTACCAAATGATATTTTCATCACATACTAAATGTTAAGCTCTATTTTGATAAGTCAGTAAAGAATTAAATCACTAGAACTTGTTGAAGTTAAAAGGTGTCAGATGTATGCACCCTATGATATTTAAATCTACTGAATACTTGTTCCTTTATTTCTTATGAAGACCATTGTCATTAATCTGTGCATAAACAACACTAAGCAAGCCACCTGCATATATTCCTTGAATAATGACTGTTCCATTACCCCCCCCCCCCCCCCCATTATGCTAACGCGGGTTATGTATTTTTTCTGCAACAGCTGCTACATTAATTCCCATACTAACAACCAAAGAAAGCATTTAATTATTTAATTAATTTCCATCTTTAGAGTGAAATATTTTCTTTAAGGAGAAGTCTTTGAAGTCTATTGAAAATGGCCAATGGAACATACACATGGGAGACGATGAAAAAAATGCACAACCCCCGAGTGTTTGCTACTCCCCTTGTATATGAGGGAAACATATATGTGATTGGGGGGTGTGACCAGTTGGGAACACCTTTAGACACTTGTGAATATTATGAAACTGCAAAGAGAAAATGGCACATTCTTCCAAGCATGCAGATAAAGAGAGCAGCCCCTGCAGCTCAGATAGTAGGCGATAAAATAGTAGCTATAGGAGGAGTAGGAGAAACCCAGGCTCCTGTGGATGCTGTAGAAGTTTATGATATTAAAGCTAAAAAATGGCTTACAATGGAGTCTCTCACTGAACCATTGCAAGGAGTGTCATCTGCAGTAAGAGGTACGTAGGATCATATATCTGTTTTCCGAATTTTCAGGTTTTACGTTTTATACCTAGCCTAATCCAGAAACCCACTGGAACTCTTCTGATTAAAGGAATCTTAGTGGGATGGATTAACCAATGCATGTGCCTTCATACGGACAGATTGAAAATACATGTAGTAATTAATAAATGTTATTCACACAAATTACACCTGTTGATGTAAAGAAATTATTTTTAAAAAAATTATGAAATTTTGATAATCATCATGATCATATGCATGTTTCAATTTTGACAAAACATACTGTACTTGAATACAAAGACTGCAAAACACATTAAATGCAAACATGCTAAATAAAGAAAATAGGACATAGATAATACTGTAACCATATTACCTCTAGCGGTGTATTCTTCTTAGCAATTCTGGCGGAAAGCTTGACTCCGTTAAATCAAGTAAATCTGTACAGTAAAACTCGTTCAGTACAAACACAGATATTGCGAATTCACGGATATAGGGAAGTTATCTTGGATCCCCAGCTATATGAATTTAATGAATTCCTTATACGGATATTACGAATTACGAATATAGCAAAGTAATTTCACAGGTCCCGGCGACTTCTTTATAACCGAGTTTTACTGTATAAGACTTGTAAATCAGAATTTATATATGGCACATTCAGATAGCGCTTAATCAAATCTATGCTAACTTGCTGAAAATTCAATTTCCGCCAAATATTGTACATGCCAAAAATGATACATATACAGTATGTTAAAACCATATTTTTGGAAAAGAGATGATCATTACTCATTACTCACTTGTGAACAAAAAATGAAAAGCATTGGAAAGATTCAATCATTGTTGGATATTACCCTAAATACCTGTTGCAATGTTAAAAATGTCACTTAAAATCCTCTTCAAAAGTGTGTTTTGCATTATAAAACAAAATTTAACAAATCAAAAATATTTTTTATAAAATACATAATACGTAAAGATGCCAGTTATTTTTCATCTTCTATAACCACCATGGTTTGCGGTTTAAACAGTTAACATGGTCAACATGCTATTTGAAGAAACTGAGGATAACTATGACTGGAAACCTAGAGGAATCTCATTATTATAGGGGAATTTATGTTTCCTTCAACCTGCTACATTTTCAACATGGTCTTGATAAATTCTAAGTAGAAAAACACTTGCTAAGTACAGAAGAGAATTTGTTAATTTGTTACTGTAAACCAACTTTTATTCAAGTGCGAGAAATTTTCGCGAGGTTCGCGAGAGCCTCGTCATCCAGAATATTTCTCGCCGCAAACGGGTCCTTAAAGTCTCTTTTTCTATTAAAACAGTTCCAAAAACGGCTTGATCGCGAAAATTAATCGTCGCGAACTAGTTTACTCCCTGTAAATCGCGAAATAAAGTCATCGCGAATAAAAGTTGGTTTACAGTATCTAAAAGGCTGAGTTGTAAGTTATCTAGTTTTTATTTTCAGTGTTAGGCCTACTTACTAAACTATTTTTTCAGATAATAAAATACATGAATCTGTATGAAATATTGAATCTATTTACAGTAAATTATTTGATATGTAGGATAAAGATGTTAAATATTGAATTACATGCATGTATGTATATTCTAGTTTGTATTTACCTATGCATACATGTATTCTGAATGAGTGACCATTTTTTAAAGAGGTTTATTTATCATTACAAGGTTACTACAAGCTACATTTGTTGACTAAACTAGCATTGACATTGTCACTAGGAGGTTTGTACACTATAAGACATGGTTCAAATGCTGAACGTAACATTTTCCATACTTTTGTTTAACACAGACAATGAGATTCTGGTGATGGGTGGAATGTCTGATGACTCTAATCCTAAGGACCATTTCTGGAGTTATGACATCAAGAGTAACAAGTGGAAGGCCCTCCCCCCAATGCCCACACCCAGATACGCCTCGGCAGCTTTTGAAATTAACAACAAACTTTATGTAATAGGTAAATCTTTAGAATTTTACTGAGACAGTTTTAAGAAATCCACATGCTTTATTAAATAAAAATAAATACACGTACAAAGAAAACTTGAATGTTTTTCATTTTACAGGAGGGCGACAAGGGAGGTTGCCGTGTTTAGCTCTGGAAGTCTTTGACTTTGAGACGAACAAATGGACGCAATTAGAAAACATACCTAGCAAGAGAGTCTTCCCAAATTATGTGAAGGCGGGGACCTGTATTATCAGTGTAGGGGGACTAAATCAGCCAGCCTCCGATGGTTTCTCTCAGGCTTGTGAGGTGTTTGACACAGCAAATGAAAACCGTATGTACCCGCTGAAAGAAATGTCAACTTGTTTCAAATCTCTCTGTACACACAACTTCAGATTTTTTTAAAAGAAATATTAAAGTACAAGCATTGCTAATTTTGTACCCTAATATTAAAACAAAGCTTCTAGAATATAAAACATGCCTGTGTGTATGTGCATAAATGTTTAATTTCTTTACAAATATACTGTAGTCACAGTGTGTAGAGTACCATTTAACCTTTCCATCCGAATCTATAGCTACAGAGGTGGAGCTGACTACAGAAATAAACCTTATCAAATAAAAGTCAAAGGTCAAGGTCATAGACGGTTACAGCTTCATGTAATTGTGGATAATCACAATTTAAAGAAAAGTATTATTCTTGCTATTGATATGCACATGGCGTAAAAAAAAAAAGGCTTTTTCTTTCCATTTTAAAAAGGTTACCCGGTAAGTTCAATGACATTGATAGGTGTAAACTAAATTATAGACACAAAATCACACAAATTAATAAATTCAGTCTCATACTAGTATCAAGTCAAAGAAGCATAATGTTTTGTAGTGGTCAGCTAGATTCGATTGCCGGTGGCCGGATAGCTCAGTTGGTAGAGACCTGACTGGAGATTCTGTGGGGGCTGGTTCGAATCCCAGTCTGGTCCACTGCATTTTTCTCCTCTCCCATTACAGTTTGACCAGTGATTGATATTAAGTTTGTGTGACCACCACATCTTAATTCTTACATGACAACTTGTGTTTTGTTCTGTGAATGAAATCTTGTTTAGAGGTGTTGCTTTACTTTGCGAAATCCTTATTTGTATCTTTATAATAAAATTATTTTTACAGCAAAATGGAAAGTTGGTACCAACATGCCAACCAGACGTGGTGACTTTGCCATTGGTGTTGTCGGTGAGAAGATGGTTTGTGCTGGAGGTCTTGGTAAGATCTCTTGTTTAATATCATAGTGCTCTTATAGTTATCTTATTAGCTCTTCTGAGCCAAAGGCTCAAAGAGCTAATGCTATGGCCATTTGTGCGGTGTGCGGTGTGCGTTAACTTTTTAGAATATGGGCCATAACTCAAGAACCCTTTGGCCAATCAGTACCAAATTTGCCACAGGGTATCCTTGGCCCAAGGGCTACCATTTATACTAAAATAAGGGTTGGGACCCTAAAACAAGGGGAGATAATCAGGAAAACAAAACCAAAAGTACTGGTTGCTAAAAAATCTTCTTCTCCAGAACCGCCAGGCAGATTTTCACCCAACTTACATACAAGGATCAGGATATGTTGAAGATTTAAAATTGTTCAAGGCATGACCCTGGGGCAAAGGGCGTGGTCTCAAGGTCACTTGAAATTTGACCTAAATTTACAATTAATAAAAATGTTCATATTTTGCTTACTATAAGGACTAGGATCATCAAATCTTGTAAGTTGATGCATCTTAGGACTTCACATCATGTTAACTCAAAAGTAGGTCACGGTGACCTACTTTTTAGCTCACCTGAGCCAAAGGCTCAAGTGAGCTTTTCTGATCACAATTTGTCCGTTGTCTGTCGTTGTCGTTGTCGGCGTTGTCGTCGTCGTCGTCGTTGTCGGCGTTGTCGTTGTCGTAAACTTTTCACATTTTCATCTTCTTCTCAAGAACCACTGGGCCAATTTCAATTAAACTTGGCACAAAGTATCCTTGGGTGAAGGGGATTCAAGTTTGTTCAAATGAAGGGCCACGCCCTTTTCCAAGGGGAGATAATCATGATTTAGAGAAAAATTATTGGCATTTTTAAAAAATCTTCTCCTCAAGAACCACTGGGCCAGGAAAGATGAAACTCATGTGGAATCATCCTCAGGTAGTGTAGATTCAAGTTTGTTCAAGTCATGACCCCCGGGGGTAGGGCGGGGCCAAAATGGCCGATCAAAGTTTTACATAGGAATATATAGAACAAATCTTTAAAAATCTTCTTCTCAAGAACCACTGGGCCAGGAAAGATGAAACTCATGTGGAATCATCTTCAGGTAGTGTAGATTCAAGTTTGTTCAAGTCATGACCCCCGGGGGTAGGGCGGGGCAAAAATGGCCGATTTTTACATAGGAATATATAGGAAAAATCTTTATAAATCTTCTTCTCAAGAACCACTGGGCCAGGAAAAATGAAACTTATGTGGTATCATCCTGAGGTAGTGTAGATTCAAGTTTGTTCAAGTCATGACCCCCGGGGGTAGGGCGGGGCCAAAATGGCCGATCAAAGTTTTACATAGGAATATATAGGAAAAATCATTAAAAATCTTCTTCTCAAGAACCACTGGGCCAGGAAAGATGAAACTCATGTGGAATCATCCTCAGGTAGTGTAGATTCAAGTTTGTTCAAGTCATGACCCCCGGGGGTAGGGCGGGGCCAAAATGGCCGATCAAAGTTTTACATAGGAATATATAGGAAAAATCTTAAAAAATCTTCTTCTCAAGAACCATTGAAACAGGAAAGATGAAACTCATGTGGAATCATCCTCAGGTAGTGTAGATTCAAGTTTGTTCAAGTCATGACCCCCGGGGGTAGGGCGGGGCAAAAATGGCCAATCAAAGTTTTACATAGGAATATATAGGAAAAATCATTAAAAATCTTCTTCTCAAGAACCACTGGGCCAGGAAAGATGAAACTCATGTGGAATCATCCTCAGGTAGTGTAGATTCAAGTTTGTTCAAGTCATGACCCCGGGGGTAGGGCGGGGCCAAAATGGCCGATCAAAGTTTTACATAGGAATATATAGGAAAAATCTTAAAAAATCTTCTTCTCAAGAACCATTGAAACAAGAAAGATGAAACTCATGTGGAATCATCCTCAGGTAGTGTAGATTCAAGTTTGTTCAAGTCATGACCCCCGGGGGTAGGGCGGGGCCAAAATGGCCAATCAAAGTTTTACATAGGAATATATAGGAAAAATCATTAAAAATCTTCTTCTCAAGAACCACTGGGCCAGGAAAGATGAAACTCATGTGGAATAATCCTCAGGTAGTGTAGATTCAAGTAAGTCATGACCCCGGGGGTAGGGCGGGGCCAAAATGGCCGATCAAAGTTTTACATAGGAATATATAGGAAAAATCTTAAAAAATCTTCTTCTCAAGAACCATTGGAACAGGAAAGATGAAACTCGTGTGAAATTATCCTCAGGTAGAGTAGATTCAAGTTTGTTCAAGTCATGACCCCCGGGGGTAGGGCGGGGCCAAAATGGCCGATCAAAATTTTACATAGGAATATATAGGAAAAATCTTTAAAAATCTTCTTTTCAAGTACTTCAAAGCCAGGATTAGTAATATTTGTATGGAATCATCCTCAGGTAATGTAGATTCTAGTTCGTTCAAATTATGATCCCCTTGGGGGTTAAAATTCAAGCCCCCCCCAACTTAAATTAACTTTGAGTTCTGATCTGATGTGTTTTTTCCTAGCTGATGTGCTCAGGTGAGCGCTGTGGCCCCTGGGCCTCTTGTTTAATTTTGCGGGCATTTGTTTTCAAATTGATTTGAAGGCATATTTTGGACACTTTAAGGCCTATGATCATGAAACTTAGTCAGTTGATGCATCTTGAGTCCTTGAACAATGTCAACTTAAAAGTAGGTCACCGTGACCTACTTTTTGAACTTTATGACTTAACCTTTTTAAAACATTTAATCCCATTATTTCAGGCACTGAAAGGGTTAGAATCATCAAATCTTGTAAGTTGCTGCATCTTGGGACCTTAAAACATATTTAAGAAAAAGTAGGTCACTGTGACCTACTTTTAGAATTTTGCAGGCATATGTTTTCAAATTGTTTAAAAGGCATATTTTGATTACCTTCAGACCTAAAATCATCGAACTTGGTCAGGAGGTGCATCTTTGGACTCTGAAAAATGTCGACCAAAATGTAGGTCACGGTGACCTACTTTTGACATTTTATGGCTAGATTTAAGTATCTTAGGTATTTATTGGCTTAGAATCATCAAACTTTGTGAGTTGATGCATCTTGGGTTTTCGGAGAGTGACGACCAAAAATTAGGTCACGGTGACCTACTTTCAACATTTAATGGCTATATTTAAGTATCTCCGGTACTTATTGGCTTAGAATCATCAAACTTTGTCAGTTGATGCATCTTGGGTTTTCGAAGAGTGACGACCAAAAAGTAGGTCACGATGACCTACTTTTGAATATCTCAGGTATTTATTGGCTTAGAATTATCAAACTTAGTCAGCAGATGCATCTTTGGACTCTGAAAAATGTCGACTAAAATGTAGGTCATGGTGACCTACTTTCAACATTTTATGGCTATATTTGAGTATCTCCGGTACTTACTGGCTTAGAATCATCAAACTTTGTCAGTTGATGCATCTTGGGTTTTCGGAAATGTCGACAGTGATCTACTTTCGACATTTTATGGCTATATTTAAGTAGCTTAGGTATTTATTGGCTTAGAGAATAATCATACTGTGTCAGTTGATGCATTTTGGGTTTTCCAAGAATGTAGACCAAGAAGTAGTCCTAATTGGCTAAGAATCATCAAACTTTGTCAGGTGATGCAACTTTGGTCTTAGAATACTTAAGGTTAGAGGCTTCAAATACAAGTGATAGGTTGTACAATTTATCAGAAGAGCGATTCAAGGCCCTTGGGCCTCTTGTTTAAATGGTCATACACATATTCTGAAAGAAACTATGTTTGCAATCCAGACTAAAACACTTATGTGTTTGTGTCACTGAACAACATACTGTAGATCACTAAATTTTCGCGACACCTTATTTTCGCGAGATTGTCATTGACTCTTTGTAAGCGAGACATCATTTTCACGAATAGTTGTTTTTCCTCTATATAATCATAAGGAATACTTTTATATGCGAGAATTTAATTTCCGCAAACGCACTGCCTCACGTAATTACGCGAAAATAAAGTTTTCGCGAATAAAAAGTGATTTACAGTAGTGTTACGCTGATGCCCTTATTTGGCAGCATATGGGGAAAGTGAAAGTTTCTCAAATACAAGTCAAACTCATAGATAAAGAGATATAAAATGTTACCTTGTGTCAATTGATATAGGTACTTGGTAATTATGAAAACCTAATCACCAACCATTCAAAAGTTATGGTCAAAGTTAATATTTTCGAAAAATAATGTCAATCTCCAAGGTCAAGGTCAAAGGGTAAATATAATGGTACATAGGGGAATACTTTGTCTTAAGATATAAACATGCAAATTATAAAAGCCCTTGTGCCACCTGTTCAAATGTTATGACAAAGGTGGAAGTTTTTCAAAAGTATGTCATACACCAAGGTCATGTTTGTTTCCAAAGAAAGATCTTTTCAAAAGACATATACCTGTGAAGTTTAAAAGTCATTGTGCTAACTATGAGGAAGTTTTTAATTTGACCAAGGTTATAGTTTTTTAAAAGTGGGTCAAACTGTAAGGTTATTATAAAACCATGGAAAGGTCTTGTGATGATGAGTAAAAATGAAATTTGAAGGCCTTAGCTCACTATTCAAATTTATGGCCAGTTTAAAGTTGATTAAATTTTTGCAGAAGTGGGTCAAACTCCAATGTCATAGTCAAGAGGCCAAAGAGCTCTTTGTTGGTACCCAAAGAAAGGTCTTGTCACAAGGAATATGCATGACATGTGAAAATATGAAAGTCATAACTCTAACTAATCAAAAGTAATGAGCAATGTTAGAGTTTTCTGAGACAAGCAGACAGATAGGTGGGCAGACAATTAATATCCCCCCACCCCACCCCACCCCCCCCCCCCTCCCCCCGAATCTTCCATTACAGGGACATAAAAATATATATTGTTACTTGAGTGTATTAATTTATGAAATTTATTGCCATTTTCACACTATTTTTTGCTTATAAGCTATCAGAAAAATTCTGAAATAAGGGAGTGCTAGCAAGAATTAGGTATATATAGTTATAATTAAAAAATTCCTAGATTTTCATCCCCGCCTGCCAAATTTTTATTTTATCCCACCGCATTTTTAGCTCACTTGAGCCGAAGGCTCAAGTGAGCTTTTCTGATCACATTTTGTCCGGCGTCCATCTGTCTGTCTGTAAACTTTTCACATTTTCGACTTCTTCTCAAGAACCGCTGGGCCAATTTCAACCAAACTTGCCACAAAGCATCCTTGGTTGAAGGGGATTCAAGTTTGTTAAAATGAAGGGCCACGCCCTCATTCAAGGGGAGATAATTGGAAATTAAGGAAAATTTGGTGGCAAGATTTAAAAATCTTCTTCTGAAGAACCACTGTGCCAGGAAAGATGAAACTTATGGGGTTACATCCTCAGCTAGTGTAGATTCAAGTTTGTTCAAATCATGACCCCCGGGGGTAGGGCGGGGCCAAAATGGCCGACCAAAGTTTTACATAGAAATATATGGGAAAATTCTTTAAAAATCTTCTTCTCAAGAATGACAATTCCATAATTCATCATATTTATGTGGAAGCATCCTCAGGTAATGTAGATTCAAATTTGTTCAAATCATGACCCCTGGGGGTAGGGCGGGGTCAAAATGGCCGACCAGAGTTTTACATAGAAATATATGAGAAAATTCTTTAAAAATCTTCTTCTCAAGAATGACAATGCCATAATTCATCATATTTATATGAAAGCATCCTCAGGTAGTGTAGATTCAAGTTTGTTCAAATCATGACCCCCGGGGGTAGGGCGGGGCCAAAATGGCCGACCAAAGTTTTACATAGAAATATTTAGGAAAATTCTTTAAAAATCTTCTTCTCAAGAATGACAATGCCATAATTCATCATATATATATGGAAGCATCCTCAGGTAGTGTAGATTCAAGTTTGTTCAAATCATGACCCCCAGGGGTAGGGCGGGGTCAAAATGGCCGACCAAAGTTTTACATAGAAATATATGGGAAAATTCTTTAAAAATCTTCTTCTCAAGAATGACAATGCAGTAATTCATCATATTTATATGAAAGCATCCTCCGGTAGTGTAGATTCAAGTTTGTTCAAATCATGACCCCCGGGGGTAGGGCGGGGCCAAAATGGCCGACCAAAGTTTTACATAGAAATATATGGGATAATTCTTTTAAAATCTTCTTGTCAAGAATGACAATGCCATAATTCATCATGTTTATATGAAAGCATCCTCAGCTAGTGTAGATTCATGTTCAAATTATGACCCCCGGGGGTAGGGCGGGGCCATAATGGCCGTCACTAGTTTCGCATAGAAATAAATGGGAAAATTCTTTTTAAAATCTTCTTCTCAAGAATAGCAAAGCCATAATTCATCATGTTTATATGGAAGCATCCTCAGGTAGTGTAGATTCAAGTTTATTCAAATCATGACCCCCAGGGGTAGGGCGGGGCCAAAATGGCCGACCAAAGTTTTACATAGAAATATATAGGAAAATTCTTTAAAAATCTTCTTCTCAAGAATGACAATGCCATAATTCATCATATTTATGTGGAAGCACCCTCAGGTAGTGTAGATTCATGTTTGTTCAAATCATGACCCCCGGGGGTAGGGCGGGGCCAAAATGGCCGTCACTAGTTCCACATAGAAATAAATGGGAAAATTCTTTTTAAAACTTCTTCTCAAGAATAGCAAAGCCATAATTCATCATGTTTATATGGAAGCATCCTCAGGTAGTGTAGATTCAAATTGTCCAAATCATGACCCCCAGGAGAAGTGCGGGACCACAATGGCCGACAAAGTTTTGCATAGAAATATATAGGAAAATTCTTTAAAGAATAGCAAATCCATGATTGGTCATGGGATTACTTTTGGATTAAAACTTTAATAATCGACCAATTTCTACTTTTTCTTAGCTACAGTACTCAGGTTAGCGATGTGGCCCATGGGCCTCTTGTTTTTTTAAATTTCTGTTTTCTTTTGTCGTAATTCTGAAAGGGATTAGTAATGAGTATTCAACTTTTTATTGTCCCCCGCTTTCACAAAAGCAAGAGGACATTAAATCTCATTCGTCTGTCCGTCTGTCAGTCCTCACAAAAACTTAAACCTTTTTCGTATCTTTTGAATAAGAAGAGATAGGGCTTTCATATTACACATGTTTATTACCTGTGACAAGACCTTTCTAAATATACTGTGATTTTTGACCTCGTGACCTTGGCCTTGAAGTTTGGCCTACTTTCAGAGACTTGAACCTTTCATAATATACATGTGTATTACCTTTGAAGAGACTTTTCTAAATACAATATGATTTTTGACCTCTTGACCTTGAAGTTTGACCTACTTTTCAAAAACTTAAACCTTGGTCATGACTTTTGAATGAGAAGAGATAGTGCTTTCATATTACACCTGTGTATTACCCATGGCAAGACCTTTCTCAATACACTGATTTTTGATCTTGTGACCTTGACCTTGAAGTTTTACCTACTTTTCAAAAATGTTAATTTTTACTTATAACTTGATTGGGCAGATATGGGACTTTCATATATATTTGTTGCGCATTACCTGTGATAAGATATTTCCGAGTATGCTATGTTTTCTGACTCTGTGTCTTTCACGATTGGCCTAATTTTTTTTTTAAAATCAACTTCTGTGATAACTTTTGAATGACATATGATAGGGAGTTCATATTTGACAAAATATGTTGTAAAGAATTGACATTTCACCATGTTCAACTTTTGTTTTATATTCCATGGATGTTGGCATGATTTTCACAGCTGAAAAAATGTGGTTATTACTGTATCTAATATTTGTTAAACAGGGATCATTTGTTGTGAAAGATTGATGATGATGTGTAGTAAGAAATTTAAATAATGATATTGACCTGTAAATATATATCACTTTTATTCGGACATAATAGATGATTTTGCACGGATTGATCAGGTCAACAACAAAAATCAGTATTATGAAAAAAATATAAAATAAAATATGCCTGTCCACCTTGATTTAAAAAAAATGGTGGGTGAGAATGTTTTTATTATTTATTATTTCCTGTAATTCTATTGCATGTATAACCTAAATAAGCTTAATTGATACACCTGAAAAGGTGCATTTACTTGTTTAATTTTTTGTGTTGATTTCAGGAAGTCAAGGTAAACCATTACAGATTGTTGAGGCGTACAATTGGAGAACGGATACCTGGACAGAAATCAAATCCTGTCCTACTACCCACTGCTCCTGTGCTTTCACCATGCTCAATGACAGACTGTTTGTTATTGGGGGTCTCTCACTCGGGGGGCCTAGTTCCTCCATGGAGGCCCTCAGCTTTAAACCTGACAAGTGATACAGATAGGATTTAGTATTTTTAACTTTCTTTATCCATCACTTTTTACAATCATGAGCAGTCCCATTTCTTAAAATCTTCACCTTTAACTGCTGTATATACAAACCTAGTGGTGTGTCTCTTGCTGCCTTTGTATTGTAAGCCCCTGTTTCTGAGATCTTTGTAGTTTGAGTGAGACGATTGACTGGTTTACGTGTACATTGCATTATTTTCTTATTTTTATATTTTCAAGTTTCATGTGACACTCTGAATTCATAACCTTATCATTAACCTTTTATGACCTTTCAATGGGAATGTGAACTTATGCTCATATATTCTTTTTTCCCGTAAATGGTAATACTTGAACAAGTAATGAGTAATAACTTCCTCACTACTAAGGTCCATTATTACCTTGTGAAATAATGCTTATAAACATATATATACATAAAATGTATATGACTACAGTGAGCAATTATTTTCACTTTGTCACTTTCATAGCACATCATTTTATATTAATTTTTTAGTTTAGTTTATTAAGTAGGAGTATGTTATTGGAACAGCTGTATAAAGAAAATAAACTTGATCTTGAAATCTTATACATGTATCAGATTTTGAACACTCTTTTTTAAGAAAAACAAACAATTTAGGTAATAAATTCTATTTATACTGAATAGTGATCACTTTGCTTTGATTTATAACTGTAGCAGTGATCGAAGTTTGATTGTCAGTAGTCTTGTACTTCAGTTCATAGCTGCAGAACTGTACATAGCTCCCCGAAAAAATATATTGACAGACCGGAGAGCTACAGTGCCACCCATTGAAAAAAAAACTGTATATTTATTTTGCACGAAAAATTGCACTTGGTTATGGATTAATTCTTCCAAATTCTAACCTCAATTACCGGTACCAAAAAAAGCTATATTTCAAAAAATCCCTTGCTCCTCTATCAAGTACTCTCATAGTTGACATCTGCACGAAGTGCGTTGGACCGAATTATCTTGCAAACCAAAATGGCAGTATAAATTGACGAAATTTTAGATGATCTCAATTTCAGGACCAGGAGGGCTATTAAAACAAAAGGAATTTATTATTGTCGAAACAGTGTAAATATGTTAGAAGCACACTGTTAGTAATAATTTGAGATGACAGGTTTAAAATCATGGAGAAATAAATCGAGAAACAGCACACTTTTTTGTGTGCAATAAATATACAGTTTTTTCAGTGGGTGGCACTGTAGCTATCCGGTCTGTCAATTTTTTTTTGTGGAGAGCTACAGTTCTGCAGCTATTCTGTTCATAGACTACCTGTCTAAAGATTGGGGTCTATTTAACAATTTCTGCATTTGTGGGGTCTTTGGTAGTAAAGACATGTAATTAAGTCATATTTAGCTCACCTGAGCCAAAGGCTCAAGTGAGCTTTTCTGATCACATTTTGTCCAGCGTCTTTCTGTCTGTCTGTAAACTTTTCACATTTTCGACTTCTTCTCAAGAACCGCTGGTCCAATTTCAATCTAATTTGCCACAAAGCATCCTTGGGTGAAGGGGATTCAAGTTTGTTAAAATGAAGGGCCACGCCCTCATTCAAGGGGAGATAATTGGAAATTAAGGAAAATTTGGTAGGATGTTTTAAAAATCTTCTTCACAAAACCACTGTGCCAGGAAAGATGAAATTTATTGGGTCACATCCTCAGGTAGTGTAGATTCAAGTTTGTTCAAATCATGACTCCTGGGGGTAGGGCAGGGCCAAAATGGCTGACCAAGGTTTTACATAGAAAAATTTAGGAAATTTCTTTAAAAATCTTCTTCTCAAGAATGACAAAGCCATAATTTATCTCAGGTAGTGTAGATTCAAGTTTGTTCGAATCATGACCCCCGGGGGGTAGGGCGGGGCAAAAATAGCCACCCAAATTTTTACATAGAAATATATAGGAAAACTTTTTAAAAATCTTCTTTTCAAGAATAGCAAAGCCATAATTGATCATGTTTGTTCAAATTATGACCCCCGGGGGTAGGGGGGGGGGAGCAATATGGCCGACCAAAGTTTTACATAGAAATATATCGGAAAATTCTTTAAAAATCATCTTCTCAAGAATAGCAAAGCCATGATTGGTCATAGGACTACTTTTGGATTTAAATTTTTCAATAATAAACCAATTTTTGCTTTTTCCTAGCCACAGTGCTCAGGTGAGCGATGTGGCCCACGGGCCTCTTGTTTCAAATTGATAATATTACCATGTCTACATTTAATTCATTTTTTAAATTTATAATATTACCGTGTCTGCAAACAGTCATACTAGTATGAATGCATGAAATGCATTGTATAGAGATAAAAAAAAAAGTATTCAAACTCAGAGGTCCAGTTAAACAGTATATATTTTGGAGCAGAGCAATCACAAACCTCTAAAACATCAGGATTAGGTGTCATAAAGGAGTTAGCATCCCCTGCCGACCGGTCACATCCTTGTCATGATTGGGAAATAAAGAATAAAATCCGTGGACAATTCAGTGTGTTAATAATTGTGGAACAATTAGTTTGAAAAAAGTCAGTCAGCTTTTGACCTAATGATAGATTGTATTTGCTGACACTTTTTCCTTATATAGACCGTAGAACTGGTTACTTTAAACACGACTGCTGATGTTGTTTTATCAACTTGTCTCATCTTGGAAGTTTCTAATATGTAGTGCATCCAATGAATTACAAAGTTACAAACATGATGTACTTTCATTAGTATAAGAAGGTTTGAGTGAGGCATTCAGGTAGTCCCCCATTGCGGCCTGACCCTACCCAAGGGGATCATCATTTGAACAAATTAGAATTTATGCAACGGTCCGTGTAAATTCAAATTTCTAAAACGATTTAGAGTTTTAGAATATTAATATAATAGTAAAAATTTCTAAATTTCAAAAAACTCAAACTGATTGGAATTTAATATTTTAGTTCAAAAAACCTTTCAAATTTCCAAACAGGTTTAACATTTCGAGATTTTTTACCTTAAATATTCAAAATTCAAATTTCCAAAAACAAATTTTATATTTTAAACTTTAGAGTTTTTAATCTACCGTTTGTTTATAAAGTTTACGCTTAACAATCTAAAATTCGATAACATTTTTGTCTTTTGATTACTAGTATTTAAAATTTACTTCAAACTTCCAACTTTCAAACGCTTTAGATTTTTAGAAATTTATAATTTTGATTTAAAAAATCAACTTTTAAATAACCAAAACACTTTTTTACATTCTGAGTTTTTGGAAGTTTACTTCAAACATCCAAAATATCAAATTCCATACCTGGTTTAAATTTTGGATATTTAAAGTAAAATTCTAAAAACTCAAAGTGTTAAGTTATTAGAAATTAGAACATTTGAATCAAAGTTTCAAATTTCTAAAAATTTTAAACGTTTCAAAGTTGGATTTTAGAATTTTGAAGCTAATTTCAAATAATCAAAAGACAAAAAATATTACCGAACTTTAGATTGTTTAGTGTAAACTTTCTGAACAAACGGTAGACTAAAAACTCAAACATTTAAATTCCATTAATTGTTTTTGGTAATTTGAATTTTGAAAATTTAAGGTAAAAATCTAAAATATTAAAATTCTTAAACCTATTTGAAAAATTTAGATATTTGAACTAAAATATTAAATTCCAATATACCAAATCAGTTTCAATTTTTGAAATTTAGAGATTTGAACTAATAGATTAACATTTTTTCTCTCAATCATTTTAAAAATTTGAATGGTTAAGTGTTACACGGACCATGCAACATAAAGCAGATCTCAAATTAGGACAGCCTTTCCCTATGGATTTAATGACAATGTCGATATAGTGTTGGAAATCTTTCCAATCCACATGCAGTGTAACAAGATGAATGTGATGGGACTTTTGACCATACACAGAGACGTAAGCGTAGTCATGGGCATTGGGCATTGGTCTTGCAATAAACCTTTAATACACGATGTCTCTTTTGATGCATTACCTACCTTACGTAAAACAGTTAGGTCTACATCACATTCGCACCAAACTTTGTCCCTTTGAAACTTTTAAATAATCTTGAAAAGGGGCCAATGAAAGTCCATTTTTTGATTCCTCGACACCAGAATATAGGCTCGGATCTGTGATTATGGATATTGCAAATCATAGGTTTTTTAAACCCCCACGTTTTACTGAAGAAAATGCAGCTAAAACAATCTGTCTTTTCCTTAAACTTCAATATGCCAACAAAGGAATTGATGCGGTTAATATAAGTAATACATGTACATGTATTCTTAATCACAAAAGGGTCCAGTCTTGCATTCCAAACTTTTTAATTGCAAGAAAATTTATGGAGACATAATCCATCCTCCATCGTGATCTTCTTCACCCTATAACTATAGTCCTGTTGGACACGTTATTACAGGTGACGTAAATATAGTTAATAATGACTTTTAAAAGGTCCTAAATATTGGGAACCCCGATCCTTCAACTGGCGTTGGAGTTTCATAAATAGTATGGATTCTGTAGATTATTACGCCAGACGATGGGACAAATATGAAAAAAAAGATGTTGACACTTTGTCAGAATGGAATAAATGTATCGAATCTATGTTAGAATCGCGTTTTAAAAGATTGAGGGGCAATATGAAAACCACCTATCCTTCTGTATTTAACAATCCAGAAGTGAAAAAAAAATAGACAGATTACATGATCAGTACGTACTGGTCCATGTCAAAGCAGGTACATGTATCAACATTGTCTTCGTTTGTAAGGCTCATTATCTAAATTGTATTTTAGAACTTGGATTTAATTCTACAAGTGGTAATCCATCTTATACACATAGTTCCCTTTCTAAGGAAGAATTTCTTCAAAATCATATGTCAATTTTGAATATTTTAAATATTCCAAACAGCTAAAATGAACTTGAATTACCATGTGTATATTGGATTCCGAAATGTCATAAAAATCCTTACAAAGATACATAGCTGGTTCCAGTAAATGTTCAACCAAGACTCTTTCTTTACTTCTCACTAAGATATTAACAGTAGCGAAGGAGAAACTTCGAGAGTACTGTGCAACAATATATTCGAGGAGTGGTCTATATCATATGTGGATGCTTAAAAATTCCAGGGAACTTTTGGACAATTTGAAATCACAATATTTTACCAAAATCAATAGCTTAAAAACTTACGACTTTTCAACTTTATACACAACCATTCCCCACGATAAATTAAAGTCCAGGCTTTTTGATATCGACAGCTGCTTTTCGAAAAAAATGGAACATGAGGGTTTACTTACCTTGTCATTGGTCATTTGCAAAATTATTTTGTGAAAAAGCATTCTGATTGTACACACAAGTGCTCTGAAGTTGACATCTTAAAGATGCATAAGTTTCTGATTGTGATATCTACGATAGCTTAAAGACTTATATACGAGGGGTGATCAAAAAGTTCGCGAACTAATTGAATAACTCCCATCAAAGAAAAAGTTTTTGGTTCAAGTGTTGATTGTATTTTAAATTAGTCCTCTCCAATTTTAATACACATCTGCCACCGTTCTGCGCATGCGCGAATCATGTGATATACTAGTAGGCGGTCACGTGACCCCTTCGTAGCGGTCTGTCACAAAAGTCGAAAGATTTTTCTGAGTTTTATATTTCTCTCCATGTAAGTTAATTTTTAGAACAAGAACAGTTCATTTGT